AACTTAAAGTCCTTCTACCTATGGGGTGAGACAGAGGAATCCCTTTTATGTCTTAAACAAATGAGGAAAAGAAGAAAAAAGAGCCTGGTACAACCAACATCCATTACTGCTTATAGCAATTTTCAGTTCAATGAATCCCTTCTGTAGTTTTCCCTCTCCTGTGGATGTCACTTTTAAAATAACCATAGGCTATTTTAAACAACCTCCATCCAGCCCTCCCATCTATTAATAACAAACCTTCAGGGCTTTAGCAGGTGCACAACACTGGGCCAGGTGCACTGTTAAGGCACACAAAACCCTAGTGCAGCTCTCCCGCATTCCTGTCCACCCTGAAAGAGAGGATGCTGAAAAGACTTTGCACCAAGGAGACACCTCTGCAGAATCGGGGAGAGGCCCTTTTATTGTGAGCATGGTGTCTGGGGGAGAGAGAGGTCAGCCAGAGGCCGTCCCCACATGCTCGGGGAAGCTGCAAGGGGAACCCAGGCAAAGTAATTAACACTGGAGGGAGGGAAACGTTCAGCTCACTGTGTGAAGCTGGGGAGCCAGCACATGGGGACATTCACTAGGAACCAGCAATCATCACACTACACTGAATCACTGAATTTTCTTCATATTTTTGAAGACATTCCCAAGAATTACTGCCGATAATACATTCAAAAATCCAAAGTTTGTGAAATCTAGTAACCAAATGTCGTTATGGAAAGAGAGGAACATATTCCTTTTTAAAACAGTCCCTTGAAAAGGAGGGCAGGTACAGGTCTGACATATCCCAAAGGCAAGAGGGACACTGTGTGTGTCAATACAGAATTAATTTATATTAGTCCCTGAGGGGTCTCTGGACACACTCTAATTTTGACACTACTCAAAAATTAGATTATATGGCCATAATCTCACATCGGCAAGACTTAAACAGTGTGCCTTTCTCTCAAGGCAACCAATGTTATTTGCCAGAAACCTCCTCGTACTCAAAAAAGGTTATCAGAGAACTAGCAACAGACAAGTTCTTCACCACCAAGAGGGAAGTGAGGCCAGCCTTCTGACATCTGTTGCAAAGAAAAGGACTCTGAACTCAAGCTAAAGCTCCCTACAACTCTGAGAGCACTTGCAATTTTCAGATTTTTTTCTTGGCCGTTACTCTGTGTCTAAAACACTCCCTATTCCAAACAACCCCTTGCCCAACCCACAAATCAGAAGATGTTGAAGGTCTGTTCAGTTCTTCTTGAGTGATATGGTGACACAGAGGAAAAAAGGCAGAAGGAATACTTCAGGATCATCCATACAACTACTTCTTTAAAAACAAAACAAAACAAAACAAAACCCCACAAATCCAACCTCAGTTTAGTTCTGAAACAATCTGGTCATCTGCACTTTAAAACTAATTTGCATAAACAGGATGGGAAGTATTTTCCAAACCCTTAATTCACAACACCCTACACACCTAGGCCTTCAAGCACAGCTGTAACATCTGAAAGACAAAGGCCCTCTTTGCTTCACAATTAGAATAGCAACCATAGTTTGTGTTTATTTTCTAATGTAATCATAAGCACCACTTCTGTGACAAAACTGGCAAGGTTAGATTTAAGCTACCGGATTTGATATTGCAAACACATAATACAAAGAGACTCAAATCAATAAACTCATCTTAATGTGGCTTGGGATAACCACATTTGGTGTCCTTTGCGAATGTCCTTGCTTTTGAATGTCCTGTCATCTTCCCTCCACACTGAGCACAAAAATCAAGGTTCGTTCTTCCTCCCTTCCCAATCCCAACTGGCTATCATTCAGCTATCAGAACTTTTACACTGCAATATTTTGTGACTAAACACTGTGCTCAAATTTATGCCACAGATAAGAGTCTAAGGTAACTTGTATTTAATACTTCTTAGCTTCTGAAACCATGTTCTCAAAAATAATTTCAAAGAAAGCAAACATGTGAGTTCAACTTCTTCTAAGGTTCTGGGAAGTTGGAATAAGGCTTGGCAATGGCTTGGTGCTATTTATGAATGTGCTGGTTGGACTGTGCCAATCTCACCTACGTAATGGGATGGAAGACTCAGTTATGGCTTGACTACTACAACTATAAGTTATTGTGCTGAATAAGTTATCCTCAGGCCCCAGGAATGAAACAATATTCCCCTCTATCAGCTCTATTCTGTTTCTTCTATTCACAATGCATTTACATTCACTATTTCAAAGCTTTACCTTCTCTGTTAGGCCCAGTAGCAACTTCAAAATTAGATGCACTATTTACAAAAGCAAAAAAAAACAAGGCGGGGCGTGGTGGCTTACACCTGTAATCCCAGCAATCTGGGAGGCAGGAGGAGATGGTTTGAGCTCAGTGAGTTTGAGACCAGCCTGAACAACAGTAAGACCCTGTCTCTACTAAAAACAGAAAAATGAGCCGGGCGTGGTGGCGAGAGCCTGTAGTCCCAGCTACTGGGGAGGCTGAGGCAGGAGGATCACTGGAGCCCAGGAGTTGGAGGTTGCAGTGAGCTATGATCACCCCACTGCACTCTACCCAGGGCAACACAGCGAGGCTCGCTCTAAAAAAAAGAAAAAAAGTCCCATAAAGCCACAGGTCCCGTGCTATCTCAAACCCACAGCCTGAAATTGTTTGAACTAGCTGCAGTAAATCTAGTTCATAGGATTATAAACTAGCTCAAGGCATTTTCTAGACACAATGGACTTAGAGGGTGTAAACTTGGTGAAACTTCGATATTTTATTATAATTATATACACAGAATTTCTCCCCTAAATTTCTCCCCTTACTGAATCTTAGGCAGGAATATAAGCAGTACAAATATTCTTATGGAATTTCAGAATAAGACTAGTGGTTTAAATTGAGAAATCTTAAGTCTAGGGGAAACAAGCCACATTTGCTTGATTTTTCCTTAATCAGAAATAACTTCACAAACGCTTTTCAAAGAATAGCTATTTTGTGTTATACATTGTGTTGCCACAAACTAACCAGAAATTGCACTGCTCACATCTTAAAATCTAATCAGTTAACATCGTAATTAGTATAATTAAGTCTAGTGAGGCTCAAAATACTCAGTTTGGTATTTATTGATCATCAAATGTGTGAGTAAAAAAGAAAGACGCAAGTTTAAAGGTATTTACGCTAATGTCACTCCTAGGCAACAAAAAGTCTAAAAAAAACGACCAGTATGTTTTGCTCCAAAAATTAAAGGGCAAGGCAAAGTCAATCTTGTGACCACAGGAAAGCGCAAATAAGAGGACACCCTGTCCTCTCTCGGAAGTTACCGCTTCAGAACTAAGTGCCTTCCCCACAAAGCCACTGACACATGGCATTGGGAGTCAGTCTTCCAACAGGTGAACACTTAAGAAATTAATCTGATTCTGCCCACATGATTCTATCAAAAAAAAAAACCTACCTTAAGTATGTAAAGGAAAAAAAAGTCACAAAATCCCAGACTGCCTCAGCTAAATAAAACATTACTTACAGCAATACTGGGCTCTATCTCCCAGTACCTAACACAGCTACTGCCTGTGTTAAAACTCACCCTATGACCACTGACTGATGCCCCTGAAGCAGATACTGAAGAGAAAACCCAAGTTAACCAAAGAGTCCCGGCAAGCTTCAGAACTCTGTAGTACTTGCTCATGGGCAGTGTGTCTCTTGGACCGTGTAAAAGATCCATGCCCCATTTTGAGAAGTACCGTATCTTCACATTAAAAAGGAATTAATTTCTTCCCCTCACCGCAGCCAGATAACCAACCAGACCACATTTTCTTCCATCAAGCCACAAGTGTTGATTAAAACTTGTGTCACCAGTTTTGATTCTCTTTTTTAAACAGCGAATGTCATGCCTGAGGTTACTACTGTCCCTCTTCTGTGTTCTAGAAAAGATGTCCAATTATTCAACTGAAAAGGTGACTATTCAAGCTAGGCCTTTTCTAAAAGGTACTAATAGTTCTACAGAGATGCTAATTACTGATAACTCGACAGGATTTAACTCATGGACCAGATTTTTCAGAAGTAGAAGGCGGCTATTCTATTCTACCATGCTTACAGAACTCTAATGTCTTTTTTCCTGCCAAATCTCCTGTAAGAAGTGTCCCATTAAGTCCTAAAAGGCCAAAATCCTGACAGCAGAGAAAAGAGCCTCTTTCCGGTGAAACAAACTCTGCTTAAATCAGCCAAGCCCCTGGAACCCTCTCCTGAAGCAGGAGTATTCCAAAACTCATTTGCACCATTTATGGAGGAGAAACTCTTGACGGTGGGCCCCACCCCACTGGATCATCAAGCCCAATGGGGCCCTAGGGAACAGACAGGAAGAGTCTGGAACACAGTTCCCTAAAATACCAGCCAGGCGGAAAAGGACAAACTCCCAGTACTCACAGATCTCTAAGAACTGTCAAGCCCTCTAACTTGGGGGTCGCGGGGGAAGGCTGCTTTCTGCCCTAGCCAGAGCCAAATCAGGCCACTATGGTCCTCGGGGATCAAGAGGCAGCTACACACACACTCTCTCTAATAAATAATGTAAATGGAAGACTGGAGCCAAGAGTCACCTTCATTCATTACCCACTGGAAGACCAAGGAACTCAGACACCGAAGAGTAGGATTACAGGAGAGGAAAAAGGAAACATACCCAAAGACCCCCACAGCGACTTCCTCACACTCTGCCCCAGACGTTTCCCACCCACCCACACACACACTCTCACCTCCAGACTCCCACGCACTAACCTGCAGGTCGCCCTCGCGACGCTCACTTGCTCACCTCCAAACCTTCACGACCCACGCTCGCTCACCTCCAGACCCCACGAGGCACAGACTCCAGTCCCCTGCAGACTCTCACGTCTGCCCTCTCTAGCCCAGGCCCCCACGCACGGTCCCCCTCTGCCACCCCACGCTAGCAGTCTTCCGGCCCACACAACTCCACACACACAACCCAATCCGCACCCCCTTCCCGGGGAAAAACCCGGGCCACCCCGTCCCCAAATGACAGCGCAGGGTCGGCGGAAAGGGTGGTACTCACAGGCTCCGCGTCCAGGAGGGCAGGTCCCCGGGCAGCGCCGCCAGCCCGCGCCCGCCGCAGTCCAGAGACTCCCCAGCGCAAGTGCAGCCGGCCGCGCAGGGCGCCCGCGGGCCGGCCACAGCCGTCGCCGGCTCCAGCCGAAGCAGCAGCAGCCACAGGAGCAGAAGGCAAGGCGAGCGGCGCGGGGCCCCGAGCGCTCCCCGGACCGGCCGCGCCATCTTGTCTGGAGCGCGCCGCGAACTCCGGGCGCGGGGACTGTGGGGTCCCGGGCGGCCGCAGGCGCGGGCAGGCCCGCGGGGATTGCGCTCGGCACTAGGCTCCGCGCCGGGGCATAGCCGCCAGCACAAGTTCTCTCCGCGGCTGCGGCTCCGGCGCTCAGCGGGCCCCTGGTGCCAGGGCCGCTCCGCAGCACCCGGCCCGGACCGCGAACCCCGCGCCCATTCGGGCCGACCCGCCCGAGCTCGCTGCAAACCCCACAAATTCGGGCTAGGCGTGTTCAGCCGGCCCTTCTCGTCCTCCCGCCGCGCTCTGGGCCGGTTCCTGAGCCCCCGCGCACGCCAAGTGCCGCTGCCGACGCCGGCCGAGGGCAGTGCTGCTGCCGCTACTGGAAGGAAGGCGCTCAGCCCCGCAGCCCGAGCTCGGCGCCGACGGGCATCTTCCTCTTGGCTTGGAGGGCAAAACTGCACACCCCGGGCTGGACGGCGCGGCCAGTCCCGCGCTCGGAGAGCCCCGTGCCCCTCGCTGTCCCAGTGCCGTGGGCAGAGCGCGCGCGCGCAGTCTCGGGTGCCACACGGCTCCTCCACGCAGCGAAAACCCCGCCGACCTCGCGGCTGAACAATCAGCCGCTTGCCGCAAGCCTCCCGGCGGCCCAGCCCCGGCTGGTCCCCTAGGCCCCGCCCCCGGCCGCGCGGCCTCACACACCCCCTCGGCTCCGCGCCCCGCGGCCGCCTGCAGGCCCACGTTGGATGCTTTGCAACAGCGCCCCACCACGCCCCCCGCCTGCTGCTCATTGGCCACCGAAGTCCAGCCTCGAGGGCCATTGGAACGCTCACAAGGATCCCGCCCCTCCCGCAACGACCGCCCCCCCCCGCCCCCACACTTGTTTCCCACCCGAGGTGTGAAGGGCGGGGGGCTGGGAGGAGAAAGGGAGGGACGGCCCCCGCCTCTTAAAGGAGACATACAGCTGTTGGTGGAGAAGGGAGACTCCGGCTGGGAAAGGAGGCATAAAGATATGCCCTCTTCGTCTAGAAGAGGCGAGAAAGTTGGTTAAGAGGGTAACGCCCCCGCGTTAGAACTGTCTGGCCCCGAGGTTTTTTTCCTCCTTTCGTGGCTGCAAGTAGGATCGCAGATTTACAGCAAATCCGCACCCATTTACCAGATGCCTTGCAGGAGCAAAGACACAGGTTTAAAACTTAACACACTTCCTCCTGATTGGGGCATTCTTAGTTATTTCATTAGGGGTGGTCTCTTTCTCCTCGAACAGCCTGGAGCTCATTTCTGCTCCTTACTCGTTCTTGACGACTTAAATCCATCAATATGTCCTTAATTACCAAAATGAATGTGTAAATGCAGAAACCAAGTCTCAAATGTGCACCTCCCTCCCCTGCCCCTAGTTAGTTGAAGGGTATTTCTGGAAATGCTCCAGCCTTTGATAAAGGGTTTTCCTTGTTATTATTGTTGTTCGTTTATTTTGTGTGTTTGTGTGTGTGTGTGTGTGTGTATTTTAAATCAGAGCCTTTTAAAGTCGGTTTCGAGAAGTCATAGCTACAGTGCTCCTAAAAGACAGAATAAAAGGAGAAACAGCAGTTACTTCTAACTTTGGCTTTTACAGATCAGAATATAGCAGCCATGTGTTATATGACAGTGCACGAAAACAGTAAGGCACACACACTATGAAAAAAAAGAAAAAGAAAAAGACTAGCACTGTAATATATAGCTGCCCCTCTGGGCATTTTGGTTTGCCGGTGTCTCATATCCCTTCCCAAGAGTAAGTTTCTGACAAAACTGCACACATTGTCAGGAAAATTAAACAGGTCAAATCTGTTGAAAAACATTTGCTACAGCACGTTAAATCTGAGTTGTGCATTATGGAAATGAGGGGAAGGAGATGTTCCTCAGGAAGAAAAGCAAAAAAAATTTTGAAGCTTTTATTCCACTGTTAGCACATTCTAAGGGATTTGCTTTCATTGAGGAGCACTTAAATGTGTTAAACTTTCCCTCCACTGTAAGATCACCTCTTTTCTTTAACCAAAATTTGGTCTGGGCTTGGTAGTCAAGTGGTTGCTGGTTGCCTTTCTTATCCTTTCCTTCCCTCTTTTTCCTCCTTCCCCTTCTGATTCATTATGTCCTGAGATAATGGTGCCTTATTTTTCTTTCTCTTTTCTTCTTCTTCTTTTTTTTTTTTGTATGATCTTAGCAGTGATGCCCAAAGCAGTGTTCAAATATGTGTGTAAATCAATTCAAATCTGATTCCCAAGAAATATTATTGGAAAAATTCTGCACCTGACCCATTCTACCCAAGACTTTAAGCAGCTTTTGTGTTTCATTCGTAATCCATATAAATGTACACCTTCCATCTGGATAAGAAGAAATATGTCTGTTTTCATGCCTTTTGGGAAAGACAATAATAAGCAAGGGGAATAGAATTTAAAGGACCTCAAATTTATGAAATCCTCTATGTCAGTGTTTAAGTTTTTCAAGACCAAAAAACAGAAAACAGTAATTTAATGCAGAATACCCATGATCATTTTTTAAAACAAAACTGTCAGATCATCCATCCTCCCCCCAATAAAGTAGCATATGCAGCAAAAATAAATTGAGCTGATTGAACCTCTTGAGATGCTGACCCAAAATTATCTTTCAGATCTGTCCCATTATTAGTACTGTAAACATTTTTCAAATGTTTATGGGTATACCTGTGAGATGTTCTTTGGGAATCCCAGAGTTCTGGAGGATAGGATTTGAGAATCTGCAAGGTAAGAGTATACCCACAAATCTAAATCATCCCTTCTGGTCTGGTTACCACACAGCTAGAGAAAAGGATTTCAAAGCTGAGGAACACTGGGGGGACAGGGCGCCTGAGCCTTGGCAGTTCTTTTCGTCTACAGCAAAGCATGAAGTCATGTCTGCTCCCCATACCATGTATGGAAGTTTGCCCACATACTAGCAACCTGCCTGCCATTGCAATGAGAGTGTGGGCTTGGAGAGCAGTGATAGCCAGCTCAGGGGAGAATGCTTCTGTGGCCAAAACTTAAGATCAGGGAGACCCTAAGAACAGCAATGGCAAGTTTCTAAGGGAATCTTTGTCCTGGCTTTTAAAAAAAGCAAGTCTTGGTCCATTCAGCACAGAGCAACAGTTGATTCAAATACTCTGGGTCCTTATTTTCCAAACACTGCTACTTTCATAATTTTAAATAGTTACTTATTCCTTGAGTGGGTCAGGTAGGGATTTTTTTATTTTCCAGTTCATTTTAATCTACCAGAGACCAAACTCCAGGGTCAAATTGGAATCAAATCCCCAATGACAATCACAGCAGGGATCTCTTGAATACAGAAGCCCTAGCAGTTAATCATCCTAAACCACTACTAGAGAGAGCAACTCCAAAATCTAAAAAACCTGAAATGACCAAGGATTGCGAAGAGAAGCAAATGACAAAATAACAAAAAAGCAGGTAGACCACATAGATTTTTGTTTTAAACACAACTTCCTGGGGACTGAATTGTGGCAATTTGCTACGGTCCTAGGTGGTGATAATTGGTGGTTTTAAAGAATGCTGAGATTCAGAGGTGCTTTCATAATGTTAGGCAAGATTTTGCATTATGTTCTGTTCATTAAAAGAGCACATGGGCAGCATTAAGAAGACCTGAGGTCTAGCCAGGCCTTATTACCCATGAAACCTTTTCTTTAAGCTTCAGTTTTCTCAAATGGAAAACAAGGATAATAGTGCCTTCTGACCTGGGTGCTAAGAGAATTAAGGAAAGATCCACTTGATAAAGGACACAAGTGGTGTTTTAAACTGTTTGGGGCTACATACATCTAAGGTTTATTTCTAAGGTGTTATTGAATTTTAACTCTGAAAAATTGAGAGCCGCTGTATATAATATAGATGGAAAATCTTAGTAGGTTCTTTCAGCATGAGGGTTTCTTTTCCAGGAATGTGACAAAGGGTTAATAATTACCTATAAAATCCCTGAAGACTTGCAGGGTGATGACAGCCCTGCTTTGAGCCTGTTTTGTATCTCTCTTCCAAGGAAAATAAAACTGTGTACTCATTAACTCCTTCCTTGCAATAATCTTGTCAAGGAGATGGATTGGCGGAGAAGGTAAGGGAGGAGGCTAATGAGTCTGGCGATAGAATATAAGAAGAGACAATTGTGGGATCTCCCTGGCCTCCATTTCAACATTTTCCTTTGGTGGAGGTGGGGAGAGGTGTGCTTTATTGTGCAATCGCTGGGTATTGAAATATTGGTTAATGCCCAAACAGTGCTAAGCTGTAGCTGCTGCATTTCCACAGCAAGAATGGCTGATCCCTGCAGCTCGACTGTGGCCTTCACAGGTTCTTCTGCAGAGCATTAATCAGGGGCCAAAAACCTTTAGAATCCACCTTTTTAAAATCTTTTTTCTTTTCTTTCTTTCTTTTTCTTTCTTTCGTCTTGTTCTGTCGCCCTGGGTTTAGTAGCCTCATTGCAGTTCACTGCAACCTCAGACTCCTGAGCTCAAGTGATCTTCTTGCCTCAGCCTCCCAAGTAGCTGGGACTACGGGTATGCACAGGCTATCTCACGAGGTGCCAGGCTAATTTTTCTATTTTTAGTACAGACAGTCTCACTCTTGCTCAGGCTGGTCTTGAACTCCTGACCTCAAGGGATTCTCCCGCCTTGGCCTCCCAGAGTGCTAGGATTACAGATGTGAGCCACTGCACTCAGCCTAAAATCCACTTTCTAACGCAAACTAGAACCTGGACACTTATCCTTGCCTTGTGAATTTGCAATTTTAACTGGTTCGCTGAAAGGATTAAAAAAAATTTTTTTTTTTTTGAGACACAGTCTTACTCTGTCGCCCTAGGTAGAGTGCAATGGTGTTGTCATAGCTCACTGCAACCTCAAACTCCTAGGCTCAAGCAATCCTTCTGCCTCAGCCTCCCGAGCAGCTGGGACTACAGGCCCATGCCACCATGCCCAGCTAATTTTTTCTGTTTTTAGTAGAGACAGGGTCTCGCTCTTGCTCAGGCTGGTCCCAAACTACTGAGCTCAATCGATCCTCCCGCCTCAGCCTCCCAGAGTGCTAGGAGTACAGGCGTGAGCCACTGCCCTGGCCAGATTAAAAAAATTTATGAAAGCTATAAGCGTTTCAAAATCCTGAGATTATTCTGGAGTGATGGTCAGTGCAAGAGGCAGCCCCTTACCTCCCCCTACAATGATGAAGGGATGGGCTCATTACATCATCACCAGAGACTGCGCTGCTCACCCCCAATCTGCTGCCTTTCCACATGTCACTTGGAGAAGCACATGAAAGGGAAAGGAATCAAAATTTATGCCTTACTGCCAGCAATTCAGAAGTAACACTTTGATGTATATAAAGAATAGCACATTTATCATTACTTAAAATAATAATCCCCATGAAGTCATATACTTTACATTTTTCAAAGCAATGTCACATCATAACAACAGCTATCATTTACTGAGCACTTATGGGTCTGTCACTTTGCTGAGTGCTTTACATACTTTTTTTTATTGAGGTAGGACTTAAGAAAAATGCCAAGGCCACACAAGCTCATATGTGGCAGAGCCAAGATTCCAAGCCAGTTCTGTGTACACCAAAGGTCC